TGGATGGATGGATGGATGGATGGATGGATGGATGGATGGATGGATGGATGGATGGATGGCTGGCTGGATGAATGGATGGATGGATGGATGGAGGATTGAATGAATGAATGGGTGGGTGAGTGGAAGAAAGAAAGAAAGAAGGAGAGAAAGAAAGAAAGAAAGAAAGTAAGTAAGAAAGATAGATCGAGAGAGATAGATAGATAAAAAATAACATTGAAACCGGGCTGTGCATTCGTGTTTTTGCATGCGTGCAGAACCATGCGTTCCGTCGATATCGGCGCATCCCGGGCGATTTTACCGATGTTACCATTGCTGACACATGAATTATCACACAATGACACGCGCAATAGTACGCACCTCGTAATCGAATTAATGCCACCATTGTATTTCGTCGAGTGTGGTGTGAGCAAACATCGAGTTGCGTAGCCGTAGATCGTTTTGACCCGCATTATTTGCTATCAAACCAGAAATAATCATGTTTGCGCGCAATTTGTCGAACCGCGTTCGGCGGGTCATCGGGGCATTTCTACTGCGAACGAGGACAGGTTTTCGCGTGGCCCGTATTAACCAAAATATAGTGCGACTCATTTAGTTTTCAGCTGGCTGCCGAAGGAAGTGGAGTCTTTGCCTATGCATACGGAAAGAAATAGTAGGTGTATGTAATTCTGTAAGACTGTACGTGTGTACCTAATGAAGTAACCGTCTACCTCATAACTATCTATTGCTTATAGTCACGCATCGACGGTGATTTGTTAGTATCTGATTCAGAGAATATCGATCAGTATGATTTAATCGAAGTTCAATTTATTTTATTTTCTACAATGATTTTATAATATGCAAATCAGCACTTCGCCATATATATTATATATTTATACGTGAGAGAAAGAGAGCGAAACAGACTGAGAGAGGTATAGGTTAAAAGACAGGAACATGAGAGGTGATGAATGACGGAAAAAACTGCAAAATATATACATATATATTTTACATGATTGAACATCGACAAAGCAACTAATGGCTAGCACTAAACTCGCTGTTTAACATTTGTCCGTATAGGTTTTATTTTGAAGTAAATCGGAATTGGTGCGAATGACCTAGTTTACTCGATTGTAGCTAGGTACGTACATTAATATATGCACTTGTGACATTTCAGGTAAAATGAGATATCTTATCTTTGGCACCACCATTCTCGCAGTAAGTTCTATATCACCGTTATAAAACTAAACCGCAGTAGACAAATTCTCACACGGTGTCCTCATTTATACTAGTGGTGAACAACATTTGTAAAATTTCAAGAGATTTAGTAGGTAACGTCAAGAGCCCATAGTATTATTGATGACATTTTTCGTCCCTTTAGTTCCGTTATTGGCGCATATAGGGCCTCCATAACTTGGTTTGGTTTGCAATTGACTGCATTGCTTTGGTTTTTGTGTAACACTCTTTGTCCAGCAAAGTTACTCGCTCTTGTGCGCGAGACCGTTAGACCTACGCCGGCATCTTGATGATATGATTCGTATTAAAAAAGGAGGCATGCGCAAACAGAGTGTATAGTCCAGACAGCTAACTGCACCCATAGCTATATAGTCACCAACTAAACCGAACCGTCGCATAGCAACGTACTCCGGGGAAATGGTCTAGCGCTTCGTTGTTATTTCCAAACAAGGCCAAATCGTCCACGTTAATTATTCACGAAGGTCTGCAATAATTAGGATCATCGGTTCTTTCACAACACCAACACGGCTTCGCGCGTCTCCTCCTTTCTCAGTTGGCGAGCATGGCATGTGCCAGCGGGTATTTCCAGCCGGGCTACGGCCGGGCTCGTCGTCACGGAGGCGCTTATGACGCTACGGGCGGTCACAGTATCGGCTCGATCAGTGATGCGGGCAGCTATAGCCGCGGCGCTGCGTTTGGGGCCGGCGGAACAGGAGCGTATTCTCGCAAGGGCCACAGCTACGGGCACGGACACGGTGAGTGAACGACAACAGTAAACACTGATATATAACACTCGATATACTACTATATACTATACTACACTACTACCCTAATACTGATAATAACACTCGATATTATTATATCGATCGTATAGTGATTGTTATGTTTATTATGCATTAGCGAGACCAGCTCCATGCAGCAGGTGCTGTGTCCCCCGATAGGTGACAGCACCTGCTGGAGCTGGTCTCGCTAATGCATAATAAACATAACAATCACTATACTACTATTATACTATTACATATTATACTACTACTACGTTATTATATACAATACTACACTACTACCATACTATTAATAATAACACTCGATGAACTGCTATCGATATTTTATTCTCAGTATAGACGAGACTATAAGTAGGAAGAGATATAGTGTGATACCAGAATGTATATATTGATAGGGGGTTCGGGGAGGGGGAAGGACCCCGTGTGACTGCACGTCTGATTCTTCAGTGTGTTAAACATTTGTCTTGGTTAAAATAGAATAATTTACTTCACAATTTAAAAAAAATAATAAATATATATATATATATTATAGTTCAGATTGATCTGATTGCAGCTGTATTTTCTAAAATAAGGAGTGTAGTGGGGAAAAGTATAATTTCTGGATCCTCTTCTGATATATCAAATAATGGGGGACAAATGAAAGGTGATTAAATTATAATCGTTATTGCTGGTGTATATGTGTGGTTCGTGCATGTGGACGGGAGACAGGCAGTTAAATGAGTAATCTAACCGTATACTCATTCAAGAACACAGCCGTGGTATAACGCGCCAGACGTGTAAACGCTTCATCATAATAACTTTGTGCAAATGCTTATTATATGATTGTCCGATCGAGGTCAGTGTAAGGGCGACTTCGAACACTATATTATGATAGGTCATCGCGAATATTTTCTATGCGATTCGCATGATGTTCACCATGTTAACAATTATAAGTTGCCGCGAGTGACGCCATTTTTCGGAACTAGCGTGCACGCTAGAAATACTAAATGAAATTATAACCGGGGGTCTAATATCTGACCGGGGGTCATTATTTGAGGCACGAAGCAATTAATATCGCACTAAACGATGATTCCTTGTTCTCAACGCGAAATGTATGCGAGTAGACGTATTATGTAGGAACAGAGATAATTTATAACAAAATGTTAAGAGAGATACTCGACTGATGTCATGCCGATGGCTGTACCAGCCAAAGACTAGACTAGGCACAAACTAAACACCAGGAGCTAATACTACTTATACGCGTTAAAATCTGACAATTGCGTTAATTATTTTGTTTACACGTATCACGTTGGATACGTGTCCTTAGTCTATGCACGTCCCTTTATGAACTGACATGCTCTTAAGAATAAGATGATTTTTCCACACAGAAAATTTTATTTCAACATTCTCTGCAAGCACGTACGCGCGTACGCTCGCACACATGCACGCACGCACGCACGCACGCATCTATTGTCCATCAACGTTTATGTGTGAGTTTGATTAAATATTTCGTGGGTTTGATAAACACTAAACGCGAGATCGTCACATGAATACGTTTGTGAACGCTAGCCTGTGTTTTGCGATATTATACCTATATATTCGTAGCAACAATATGCGAGCTAGGCAAATAGGCGCTTTATTCATTTTAAATTCATTATTTCTATTTATGTATTATTATACTGCCGCCAACTCCTACGTTCACTGCAACAACGATCAGTGAGTGACTCTGCACGCTATAGCCTTGTTCTCTACACGGGCATATGTACGGCATATAACCACGAAAGGCTTAAAAAACCAGAAGAAGCGACGTGCGTAAATTCTCATGTAAAATGTACGCGTTAGTTTGCTAAAACTCTCACTATCACGAACGACAAGCTGAAGAGATTAGAAGCTCGAGCAAACTTTATTCAGCTTGACACAGACATTCACATACAGTTGCCGAACACTGTTGCTGACAGGTTATATAAACGCGATCGTAAAATAACTTTTCTCTTACATTGTCACGAACGCGCCTATGCGTTGTTGAACGTTGTTGTTGTGGTTATTGATGATGATGATGATGATGTAGATGTTGTTGTTGTCGCCATCGCCTTCGTCATCGCCATCGTCGTCGCTATTGTTTTTTGTTGTACGTTGTCGGTGCATTGCAGAGGACGGCTACGGCAACCGGTGGGGAGATGGACACGCCAACGGCTACAAGGAAGGTCAGGGCAACGAGCACGGCGACCAGAGCGGTCATGGTCACGGCATCAACTGGGGCTACGCGGACGGAAACGGTCACGGCGTGCATGACGGCCAGCATTACGACCACTCGCGCGGAAACCTTTGGCGTCACGGCTCAAAGTCGGTCGGCGATCGATCGGGCTCTCTCGGCAACATCGGCAACTTCGTGAACGACCTAGGCACGATCGGCAGCATAGGACACCTGGGCAACATAGACGAGTACGCGGGCGGAGGCTCCGGTATACACAACAGCTACCGCTACTAGGAGCAAACATGCGAGAGTAGAGAGAGAGAGAGGAAGATAGAGCTAGAGAAGAGAGAGAGAGAGAGAGAGAGAGAGAGAGAGAGAGAGAGAGAGAGAGAGAGAGAGAGAGACAGACGAGAAGCAAGAGCTGCCAGACTCCTTGTACGCGCAGTGATAATAGCTGAGTGAACGACAATAGTTACTTGATTGATTGATTGAGTGATTGATTGATTGAGTGATTGATTGATTGATTGATTGATTGACTGATTTGTTGGTTGGTTGATTGATTGATTGAGTGATTGATTGATTGATTGATTGATTGACTGATTTGTTGGTTGGTTGATTGACTGATTGGTTGGTTGGTTTGTTAGTTGGGTAGTTGGTTGGTTGGTTGTATGGCTGGTTGGTTAATTGATTAATTAATTGATTGATTGACTGATTGACTGAATGATTGATTGGTTGATTGATTGATTGATTGGATTACAATCACGCCACTCACTGATGAAATTGTTATGATACGCGGTGCTATTGCATGCGTTGATTGTTGTTGTTTATTATTGTTTATCGTGAACATGTACATAGTATAAATGTGCTATATACATATCTGTATATAGTACAAGATAGTACACATATATGTTCATAGCGTTATGCCCTTTTCTGGTTAATTCTGTGGCTAATCCTGCTTAGCAAGTGCTGTATTGAACTAAGACTCGGATTATGGTTTCATTGAGAAAGCTACAATAACAAATAAAGCAATATTAATTTATACAATATACATGCCGATTGAAAAGCGTTTGTAGTTGTTTTAAATTCTCTTCCTCCCCAACCGTGCGTGCGCACGCACGGATCCAGGCACGCACGCCCTAATACAATTCTCAGATATTTTTCACTCGTCTGTATATTTTTGCTTTTTTACTTGTAAATTGTAAAGAGCAATGGCAATTGCAATTCGATATTTTCGTGTTATTACTGGATCTGTTACTATGCCAACGTTAATAGTCTAGTAGCCTAACAATCAAGCCCGCACAAAGGAAAAACAGAATCAATACAGTAAACAATAACCTATTAATTCCTTTGTTTACGTCAGCAGTGAAATGTGATTCTACCAATACAATTGATATTAGCTCTATTGTTTTGGCTAACGATGTAACGCAGTACAAAACACTGTCAGACGTGGATATAATTATATTGTGTGTTTGCGACGTTACGTGCATGCGTGCCATCGAATTGCGTGTTACGCTGTTTTTGCGAATATGGCGAGAAGAGCACGGAAATCGAAAAGAAACGCGAGAAAAAAGACAAAGGATAACAAAACCTCTGATAAAGGCGTCGTGCACAGCGAGTGCGACGAGAGAGATGTGACACAATCGCTTGCGCCATGCTTTAACATGGCGGATTTTATCGGAAACCGCGTTACGTTACGATCTGGAAAAGAATTCGTGAGACCGCTACCACAACTATCGATGTTGTCAGTGGCAGATAGGGAATCTCCGAGCACAGATGGGGCATCAACTTCTGTTGCAGGCCCATCTCGAATAAATGATCCTAACGAACGCGAGAAATCTGAAACGTCGGCAGCACAGCCGACAGGACACGGCAGCGACATCGCAACCAGGAGAAGGGTAGCGGGGAAAAAGAAAACTTGGAGAAGGTCTAAACGCTTCCGGTATAATCACGTGAAACAAACCGGACCGAAAATAAATAAAAGCGGACTAAAGGAACAGCGTGTGGCAGATTCAAGCAGTTGTCTACTCACCGCAAATATGAAGCCGGATCCAGATTCACAACAGACAGACGATACACATGTACAAATTCCTTATAAATCATCCCTAATGCCAATCGATTCACCTACGACAAAAGAAAGTTCCGATCACGATATTGCATCTTCCAGTGCGACCGAGTGTGACTCTGAAACTGTCGATAACATATCCGAATGTGTATTACGCACCTTTCTAACGGAAGAACTTGCCGAATTGTGTGATCAAATACATGCGAGTCTGTCTTCGGTTACCGAACAGCAAATAGACGTAGTCGCAGATACGATTTCGTCACCATCGAGTCCCTGTTGCTGCACGCGCTCTACCTCCCCTTGCGCCACTGCTAGTGAGATTCAGGTTAAACGTGATTCAGGTGCACAATTAACGACAAGTGCGGGAGCTCTATCAAAGCAGAGCACTTTGTCGGGTGACAGATCACCGATCCAGCCAGCGATCGAAGCGATGGTTACAACTGAGAATCCCACAGACTCGCCAATGCCCGAAGAGACTAGCGATGTCCCTGGACACGCCAATGAGGAGGAGTCAATCGATGGTAAGGCTCCGCGGCTGGTGATTCGCCTCAGCGACCTCTTCAAACAGGCAGTCGAGACGAAGACGAAAAGCGACGACACTGTAGCGCAGACAGATGGAACCCACCAGCGAACTACTACTACTACTACTACCGCGAGAAGGGCAAAGGCGCACAAACGTAAGCGCTCCCAAGGAAACAAGAAGGCGAAAAAGAAAAGCAAGCGGAGCAGTGATGCCACTGCGAATGAAGAAGAGATGGTTCAGAAGGCGGGTAAACACTTCAAGCATAGGTTAATAGCAGACGCTTTTCGTCTGTGGCAAAGGTCAGTCTTTAGTAGAGATTAGGTTTAATAGTTTATTAACTATAATCTCATATGAGTTTAATTTATATATATTTCTAATTTTTCTAGTAGCTGTCCTTTATTGTGCAATGAACCTTCAACTATAATAATTTAAACTTTAACCATCTGATGAAATAGTGTATATAATATTTTCAAGCTAATAGTCTAAGAGCGGTAAGAGCACTACACTAACTTGAATGAAAATGGGGAGATAGCCGAAGGTGTGATGTAATACAAGTAGAATATTACAGTTTTGTTATTTATTCAACCTTTTATTGTGGAATATTGTTATATGGAGAGTCATTTATGCACACTATTGCTGCTGCTACAGTACTGCCATTAAACCAGTGCGCTGGTAATAAGTTATAACTGCCTGGTTTTGCAGCGATAATAAGCGCCATTATCAGCAGCTGCATCCCGAGTCTACTGCGAAGAATCTCGATGACGTCATGAAGAACAAGTGGCGCGAGCTTTCCGACCGCGACATAAACTTTTACGTGGACAGAATAAAAAGCAGCACGTCCCGTCTGACATGTATGTTTATCATGTGATCTTTTCACGACAATACGAACACGCTTAAATTGAGAGCAACGAAAAATACGAGCTATTTCACGCCGCTAAACTGAAAAGCAAGACTTCCCGTCTCACATGCAGGTCAATCCTATTTTAACGGCTATCAGACAACATAATAATGCGCTTTCAACATCGAAACACTCCAAAGGCGAGAATACAAAAACGTAAGCAAACTCGAAAACGTAATGTTCCGTGGTCTTATCATTCGCAGGCGCGCCCACCGCGAACGCATCAAAGTGGAGCCTGCTGAGTCCAGCGAGCAAGTCGCACGCCACCGCCCTCTGGAAATACCTGATGAACGAAGCTCTCACGGAGAAGCAGAGGGAAAAGTTACTGACGCCCGTGAAGCGCGACGTCTACAGGCGAAAGCTGAAATACCTGAAGGACGTGCAGACGCGACGCACGGCGGCGAGCGACGCGCGTCTGCACGAGATCGAGAGCGATGCATTCTGGGAGCAGGTGTCGAAAAAGCAGTCGTTGATTCTGCGCCGGCTACCGACTGCAAAGCGGCCGCTCGGTGGCGCCACCGATCCGGTTCCGGTCGTCGACAATCGGCGAAAGCATCTGCGCACGTTTCAGAAGCGCTACCGCGAGCTGACGACGAGCATCATCGAATCCGGATCCGATTTAGTTCGCTCGCTCGCGGCCGACGCGGAATCGTCCCGCCTCACCGAAATTCTCCGCGCGGTGAGCCAGGTCGAAAACGCGCCCTCTACCGGCGCCATAAGCAACCACCGGCTCGAAGAGGCGCGCGTGCGCCGCATCGTGCAATTTCTGAGAGACGACGACGACGATGGCACGTCGCTAGTCGTAGCCGGCGAGGAAATCTCTCTGCGCGCACCGCGAAACCTTCGACTCGTCGCCGCGCTAGAGAAGTCGGAAAGACCGCTGCTCCCCGCAGACGCCGTCGACGCTTTCTTCGGCGGGTTGGCGCCCCCTGGCGGCGCGACACGCGAGCACGCCGTCGCGTCGGCGCATCACGTTACCGACGACGTCCGTCACGCTCGCGGCGTGTCCGACTGCAGTCTCTGCCGACTGCTGCAGCGCTTCTCACAGTCTAGCGACGGCGACGAGCTCTGCTGCTTTCTCGACACGGCCTCCTGCTTTCTGACGGACCTGTCCATGATTTAAACAACATCTAACAAGATACGCAACTAACAATATACACAAGATATCTCTTATAAGTACCCGGTGTATGTGTGTGTGTGGGGGGGGGGGTATGTAATTATGCTCTGTCTGTTGTTGTACTTTAATATTGAAATGTGTTTAGTATTCAGGAAATTACGGTGGCGCCGCATGGCAACAGGATATGGCTGATAAGTAATCATGGTTTTTTTATTAATCGGATCGAACGATACTTCGTAATAGCAGATGCGCGTCGGTTTCGCCATGATTAATTACGCTGACAATAAACTACCTGTTATTATGGCCGGAAGCTCTCTGTCTCTCTCTCTCTCTCTCTCTCGTTAATTTTGTTCACATATGTTTTCAACACTCGATCTATTATTTCTAGATTCATTTTGGATAGTAAACTCTAAAATGTTGGAAAAGGTGATTACGCGATGGTGCTCACCATTATGGGATTATTAATAATTCTCGTGGCGTTCTCAGTATTGAAATTGATACTGTTGCTCTAGCTTAAAAGGGCTATAAATAATAATATCGCATTTTCCGTGCCTTTTGTGAATTTGAACAGACATTCTAAAAACGGCACAACTACCCGCAGTGTGAAACGGAGTTGCAGCTACCTCATAGAAACTCGTGCGTATATAGTTGCATTTATTCGCACGTCTTCTCCGGCGATGACGGACGAAAATCTTGCGAAATTCATCGCTTCCCTAACACCAATGAACGCAAACGCGAATAGGTCTGGATGGCTGTTGTCACAAATATTTGAGTCCCAACATTAGTCGTAAGTATTATCACAGCATTAACCTTGATCTTAGCGTATTTCGATGTTTCTGACAACGAGTCGTTAGTCTCTACCCGGATGTAGAAGGGCCGACTTCCGCTCCTTATCCTTGATACAGTAAGTAGCTTATTGCGCGCGAGGTGACGTAAATAACGATAGAAATACAAAGACCTAATAATATGAACCCCTCCTACGGTTCTCGAGAGAAATCAGTCTATCATCTCGAAATATCATCGCATCAACTACGTCAGATATCCGTCGACTCCCTCAGGTATGACAGCCAAGCGTACAATTAACTTCATACCCCGCCTCCTGAATCCCTATATGCAATTGTCCAATACAGTTCGTTCATTTGGCATCAAGTTGTAAGCAACCTTTTCTTTATCATTGTAAAGACAATCTTCAAGTGAGGATCCACGTAGGATAGCTAAGACGTATATCAAATAAAAAGTAAGTCGCGTACGAATTGATACAACATACGTATTAGGCAGTTTTGTGCAAATTGTTGTCAGTATCTTACGATTCAGAGGTCGTATATGCAGCCCGTACTTAGATGGCTGGTTATTTGCGGCGTGCCAACATTCCCTCTTGTCGTGCACTTAGCCACAGGCACTTGGAACGTTTCAATAATAGAATGTTAAATAAACACGAAATTTTACTATAAGAACGGTATTTACTACCAAAATGTTAATGTTTCTCTACCCTTTTTATTACTTATAATTTCCTGTAAATGCCGTGCAAATTCTCGTCTGAAACACACAAGCACACCGCACGCACGCCGCTGTGCACAAACAATAAGAATATAGAATTATATATAGAGAGCTCTGTATTTAAGTTTGCCGTGCCACCTTGTTAACAAATACGTACATGCAACAATGAAAAAGCTCGCGCGCATGACTAAACCCTTGTTAGTACATACGGACAAAGATGGTTATCTCGCAAGATTCGTTGTAACAAGTAGACGTCTTGTTAGAAACACGTAATGTAATAGCGCTGTGTAACGTATAGTGTGACCTTGCTTTAGGCAGCCCGAGCAAATAACGCACTATATATATATATATAAGAGAGAGAGGAGGAGAGAGAAAGGGGGAAAGGAGCACGCGCTCGCAAACACAGACACCCATGCACGCACGGATAGAGCTATCTAGAGAGAGACAAACATGCCGAGACAGAGAAAGAGAGATGAAGAAGAGAAGGGGGAGGGACGAAGAGAAAGAGAGAAAGAGGGAGGGGATTTCCAAGACGAATTAACTGCCAATGCATTTCAAATGAATTAAAAAAAATTACCAACGCATTTAATGTTGTTTAAGCTCGTCTCTTTCACATTTCTAAATGATAGTGTAGACGGTCAACGCTGTGTTCTATGCCCGGTCTACCCCTGGCAGTATTAACACCCTTGCTTAGGCTTCTAAAGTAGCTTTAAAATACACTACAAGTAGTCAGCAGCTGTCACCGTGGCTTTTCTAGTGACCTTCAAGCGTATCCGACACCGAATTCCTCATCATCAACAACGCAAATATAGCACGGCGACTTCACTTGAATGACGTCATTGTAAAGAAGGCGTTGGCTGCGTAAGGGCATGGGTCATGTCGTGACGTCCTTGTACGTCGTATTATTATAGGGGCTTACATCATCAGCGTCTGCACCGTATAGATATATCGGATAATAACCGAATAAAGAGAGCCTGTGTCTAAGCTCATATATCAGCGCTGATTGTGATAACTTGATGCAGACTGATCGAACGGGGCCGTATTCTCCACTCTAGTGCTAGTGCCCCGGCGGACGCCTAGCTCCCGTTGACGTATGAGTGAAGTGCGATCGCGTAGCGGTGTGGCGTGTCAGGTGAGTGTAGCGGCGAGGTTTATGATAATCGAAAGCGTGACGATTTTGATATCGCCGATGTAGCGATGCGAGGTGGCAACGCAACGGTAATTACGGCACGAACCTTCTAATGTGAGAGATAGAAAGAGGACTAATTAGTATAGAGACAAACTGCTGAACTTATATATATATATATATTATAGTATATATATATATGTTATATATCAGGGAATAGGGATAATAAGGAATTCCCTATTATCTACTCCAATATATATATATATATATATATATGTGTGTGTGTGTGTGCAAGTGTGTGTGTACGTGTGTGTGTGCGTATGTGCGTGTGTGTGCGTGCGTGCGTGCGTGCGTGCGTGCGTACGTGCGTGCGCGCGTGTGTGTGTGTATTTATAGGTTTCGGGTGCTCGTGTGGGCGCGTATCGTTGCTCGATATACGTTAATTCAGTGTATATATATTGCCGTGCAACTTATCGTGTCCCACGTTTATCATAATATTCATCCGCGTCAGTATTGTAATCTAAATTCGGATTTGCGCCGGTGACAATTTCGCGATTGTAAGAGCTGTATCGTCCGCGGCAGGCAGCAAGCATAAATTTCCCGCCCATTTGCACGTAGCATACGCGCGTTCGGTTTTAAAAATCAGGACCTTAACTAATGCGGAATGATCGCAAACACGAAAGTTGTGTTCGTCGTCGAGGTGAGTACACCCAAAGCCGATCAGACGAACACGCGTAGTCATACAAAAACTGTGATGATTACGCGCGATTTTTGCCGTTCGTTACGCGTTAGTACACATTATAACACGCGCAGTCGCACGCTTCCGCGCACAGCCATGCACACGCGTATACTTAGCCTGCTATGTATATAAGGAATAAAGAGCCATATGTCTTGCATATCCGGCATACTTTCACGCTGTCGCAGGTAGCTGTATATAGCGGTGTTGTTACTCCTCAACAATAACAAGGTTAACGCAATATATAGCTTTTGGCTCTACCTTTATGCGAGCCACATAATTTCCAATGCACAATAAAATGCACGACGAACACTTGTTGTAATATTCACAGAGAGACGGGAGCTTAATGAGACAGGATAACTCATGACTGTGTTAGCATTCATGATTCTCTATGCAAATTAATGGAAACGCACTTATGGCTCAGGTATCACCACTATGTGTTGTTATCAGAAGCGATCTAGTCGGCCATTGTGTCCGGTTACTTACAAAACCGTACGGTCTACACGAGTGTCCTACGCGAACTCCATAAAGATTTTTAATACGATATCCTCTACCCAAACCCCTCATCAGAGCCTAACCATCGGCATTAGCAACAAAAGATCCTCCCATGATATAAAATAAACCCAATAAAAAAAAAAAATATATATATGCTGAATAGATCAAGCTTGACTGATTCTTGAGCCATACATGCATTCCCTCTAGATAAAAAACCTCTGCCCGACTTTTTCGCATGTAAGCATTGGCGAAGATGTGGGGCATCGAAACAAGACTCACTTTCACCTCTTTTAAACAAAGATGTCGCTGTTATGGATCGAGTTTGTCAAAATTCGTTTTCACGAAACATCCGTTCACGTCGACATTCTTTGCCTTTCGTCATCAGTAGTACTCTTACCACCTTGTGCTGCGGTTGTGTGGCCAGCACTGCTCTACACTATACTGCACCCTGAAATCGGAATGAGCAAGCTTCGATACTTTAGAGTCTGCACTAGTTTCTGCTTACGTGTTTACCTATTTTAGCTTGGGATTATACATTCGATTCGATGGCACAAGATGGTCCACTTGTTCTCTTCATCTTCGCCGTGGTAAGTGCGCATGCGTCGCTAAATTGATCTATCATACGGAGATAATACTATATAAAATCATTTTGTTTTAACGTGGATTCTTTTTATTTAGTTTAAATTACACAAATTTAAGTTGATGGGCATATTACTTTGTTATTCCATATGTGTTCGGCCAACACGGCGACAGGTTGTGGTCTTTCTAGCCATATTTTCACTATGGTTCTAGCTATAGTTGTAACAGCGCGCTTGCGTGTACGTGCGTGCGTGCGTGCATGCGTACGAGTGTATGTGCGTGTGCGCGTCCGAATACATCAGTTTCTCTTTAACGAAAGCTAAGTCCCGACGTTAGGCCTGTACGCTGGCTATACATTTCTCACTGCTGACCGTCGTGACCGAGCTAGCGTTTTACCCGGCATAATGCTTAGTATTGTTCCTTCCTCCAAACGTGCCTCGGCGAATATTCATGCTCCACATACCGTCCCCTCTAATGAGTTCCTATCTATACAGCTGACGACTACAACGATGACGCATTGTTCACAGGAAACCCCTAGCATTAATCAATTCAACCCGTAGACATGCATAGGTATATGCCTTTCTAATGCATTATAAATTATGTCTATGATTCCTCCGTTACATGTTCTTTGAGGCACTGCGTTGCTATTAGCTTTACCACCTGTTGTTAATATAGTCCAGATTCTATCACCATGTCGTACCTATTATATTATTCTCTGTTTCTGTCATAGTCGTGGGTCCGGTAGTATTAAGCATGTTGTAGTAGAGAGTGTTGCGTGTGTTCTGTAGTTCGATTTTGAATTAAAACGCTGTGGCGCTATTCAATCGTCGACTACGCAGTTCAATCATAGCAAGGGCACATAAACTAGATATTATATTAGCTGTGCATGCTCTATACGTTAGCACGCAAAGCATATAGTTTATGTGATCTTGTATGTTACTGCGTCCATAAACTAGATGGTACGTTAGCCAGTACATTAGCTAACCCATAGATAATTTATTTATCACATCAACCTACACCGGAGTCGGCTTCATTCCTTTGCGAGTATAAAATTTGAAGTTATTGCTTGTATTAGCTATTACAGTATTATCAGGAGTAGATAATATGGAATTACTATAGTAGATTCCCTATTATCTACTCCTGGTATTATTAGATATTGCAGTATCAGACCGCCGCCACGTCGGATGCTGTGAACGAAACAAGTAGCTTGGTAAAACCGGTGCCGGCGCTGGTGTATACGGAATATGAGGCTGCCAGAACAGTGCGCGACAGAGATCAGACTTACAGGAATTACCTGAGAAACGCACGTCTAAATAGACCAGATGTCGACAGGTATACAGGTGTGTACACCTAACATGTACCTAGACCTGCGACACCTCACGTCTACAGCACGTCGCGTGCGTGCGTGCGTGTGTGTGTGTGTGTGTGTGTGTGTGTGTGTGTGTGTGTGTGTGTGTGTGTGTGTGTGTGTGTGTGTG